GATTCTTTCAGGGATTTCAAAACAATTTATAATATATTAGACAATGAAAGTCCGAACTGATGAAATATAAATTTTCATGTTTGCCCTTCAAAAGAATTCTGATTTCAAATGCTACAATAAAACAACTTCCGAAGATTGACTGTTTTGTTTATTCCACTTGTTTGTTTCCAGATGTATTTTCGTGGTACCTACTGTCTCTTTTCGTCTCATTTCTTGATCGAATCTCGTACCCAAGAATTTACTCCCACACACCTAGTCAAGGGCTCATAGGCTTATATATGGGTCTGATTATTCGTGTCTCTCTCTCGTCAGGTATTTTGGTGCTTGTAATTCTTACATCAACATCTCAAGTGCACTCTGGCTGTCTAAAAGAATATTAATTCACTCATTTCGTTGAGGCCTCAAATTGTATTTGATGAAATTAGCTGGACCTGCTAAAAATCTGTATAGTATTTAATTGACACTTCATTGTGAGATTTTCCCAGTTTACATAACCACAATACCTGTTTTACTATAAGGGACTTTGCTTCTTCAGGCGTGCACCGCCTTGCACAATTTTTACGGGGGTACGTGAAGTATCATTTTTATCAACCCTGTATCTAGCTGAAATAGTGGTTCATTACGTGGATTCTGTAAATTCGCCTCAATAATTATGTCAAGGTCAGCAGGTGGTTTGCAGCAGATTAAGTGGTAGTTCAGATTATAACTCATTCTTTGAAGAAATGGATATTTTGGCTCCATCAAGGTCAAGTTTCATAGATGTCCACAACATTAATTGACCGCTCTTGAATTCAACTTTTCCATGTGATTGGACTCTCGATTTGAATAAGTACCAAACAGTCGAGTTGGTTCATCTGTCTTCTATAGGGGCTGACAAAAAAATTATACTTTTCGTAAACTAATTTCATTTTGTTGGGTCAGCTTTAAGACTTTTATTTCTGACCGGGATATTATAAGCTTATATCGTCATAGTTACGCTATCAATAAAGAGGGTCATAACTCCCTTGGGACATTATAGATTTTATAATTCCCTCTACCTTTCACAAGTAAAAATAAATAGAAATGAAAANCATTTTTCCGTTTCAAAAATGAACAAAATTTTATTGAAATCGGTCAGAAATAAAATTATCTATGTACCACGGGAATTAATGAGCCTTAATAACCTCAGGCAATTGCTGTCCCTCGGGCCAGAGGCCCTCGGGACGCAAACTTTGCCATCGGTAATTAAGGCCCTCCTAATTCCCTTGATACATAAATAACTATTAATGTTACTTCTTAGGCTCTCATTTTTCAAAGATAGGAACTGATTGAAATGACATTTCTACTCAAAATTAAGGAATTAACTAGTTTCCTTCGTTTTTTCTTTGTTCAGTAACAATTTTACAAATTTGTACTTCTGATAAAAAATGTGTCACGCAATACTTCTTGGAAGAACATTAGAGTCTTCGACAAAAATATTGAAAATACGGTACTGCGGTGATGAGATTTCTACTCCTGCCATTTGTATTTTCAAAACCCCATCCTTGAAATGTTTTTGTTTTGTACGAAGAAATTACACTTCAACGCATGCGAAACATTTTTAAATTGATGATGATTATTTTTGAGGGACAGCCAAAAGTTTTCGTGGTGATACACGTAGAATTAAACATGAATTCAATAATAACAAGTCAATTGTCGTAGGAAATTTACAGACAGCGATTTGTATAGAATTTTTAATGAGGCAATTTTTTCGCCATTATGAATATCAAGAAGAGTCTCGTTTAGAAACGGCATTAAATCTATATTATTATTATTCAGGAAGTGCCCCTGAGACTCATTTCATTTCCGTTTGAGAAAATTATGTACTGAAGTTTGAAACTTCGGTTTTGAAAACTGTTTATTATATTATTTTCATGTATAGGCCAGTCAGTCTGTCGAGAAAAGCTGATTCCAAAATAAATAATGTTTTTTTTTCAAAAGTACACATTTCTTTATGAATAATACTACATTAATATTATGCAAATAAAAAAAAGGTGGGTGTTTTCATATATAGAGTCTTTCATTAAGCATTTCTCATCTTTAAATTGAGTAAAACAAAGTGTTTGTGAGAAATCATCGACATTTTTTATTCTTTTGAAAGACTTAATGATGTCATTCGTGTGAAATCTACGCCTGAACGACTGAACGGATTTAGATGAAACTTTACAAGTCACAAAGGTTTTCTGTAATTTTGGTCATGATATAACGATAAGTATTAAGTATACCGTTGGAGTTGCATGCAGATAATGTACCGTAAGATTGTTTATCTTAAATAGTTCTAAATAATACTCTGCGATATAATTTATCTATCTTTTATGTGGTAGCCACTATATGTCAAATACTGTGCCATAGATACAATTAAATTGGATACATTTTTTACAATGCACATTTTAGAATATCGTTCACCCGAAAACGATTGTGTATACTAATAATCCAAAAGTCGTGAAGTAACTTGGCTTGGGATCTTTCAATATTGAATTTTCATTTCTTCTTAATGA